TTTTTGTTATGACACATTTATATCCACACAGGGAGCAGGTCTTCGTCTACAGAGATCGCTATGTTGCACCACAATGTTTCTACAGTATCCCAGAATGGACAAACCAAACACTGGCTCTAGAAAGGGTCATTCACTCTTTTGCTTCAGCCAAAAAGTGGTTGTAAGGTATCCTTGTGTGTCTGCTCTTGACGTTCCGGGACGCCACAACCAATGACAAAAGCGTGTGGTTAGGTTTAGGAAAAAACATCATGGTTTGGCTCTACAATGGAAACAAAGACCAGGCTCCCAGGTAAGGGCCAGGGTTTGTTGGATCCATCCACCACCGCTTCCTTTAGGGACTTTCCAGCTCCTTATTCTATGTGCGGGCAGCGTTTCAAACTGACGCCATCCACCAGTGTCTCATACTGCTGCGACAGGTGCCACCCATCCACCAGGTGGTGTATCATAACACCATAAAAGGTTCCGTCTGGTTTTGTTGCAAACTGACGCCGCCTGGCGGTGTATCATACCGCAGAGTCCGTGTCTGGTGCTGAAATCACTGAAGAGGCGGCAGTATTTGACGACTTTGGAATGAGAACGGGCTTGATTGACTCTGTTTTGGAGCCAGCCTCAAGTGGCCATTAGAGGAACTGCAGTTTTTGGCATTTGGTGGTGGCGTCATTTTTTCAGCCCCAGAAGTTGTGGCTTGCTCCCACCCGATGACATAACACCAGAAACAGAAGTGATCACGACACTAACATATTTGGCAACATGCCTTGCAGGCTCACAAAAACAGGCATACCTGTGGGGACCAATCACATCTTTTAAAAGAATGTATCATGACTAGCAACTGGGTCGACCACACGTCGTCACTGAGGTCAAAGTTTATTATTAGAGTATTCTTGGAGTGTTTGTTAATCCGGCCCCAGGTGTGCTCAGGTGAGTTCCTCTTCCTGAACTAGCAGGTACAGAAGTGGATCACGGCACTGTGTCTTACCTGTAGATGAAAACGTACTGCTGCATGTTGTTGGGAGACTTTCCCAGAGCCTTACTGGAAACTGCTCGGTAGCTGAACTTGTCATACCTCAACACAGACAAAGAGAAACTGGTGATTATTAAAATGAAGCAAACAGACATCAGTCAATACAGCAATACATCCCAGAGTGTTCACCTCCACTCTGAACACTCAGTCCCTCTGGGGTCTGGGGATTTTGGGAAAGTTTATAAATGGTGATAACACAGATTTCACTCTACTTCCCACCCACATTCACCCTGACATCTCAGCTCACATGTTCTCACCACCAGTTTTTGTATTTTAAGTTCAATGGTTCACGCTCACAACATAAAAAATTAAAATTCCCCCACAGCAGGTATCATTGTGCTTGTGTGTACCTGGAGACAGTCACTGCAGTACACCTGACTGACACCTGAACTCTAAGCAAACCAAAAATCCTGATTCAACATCTAATATTTACAGCATCAACACATGATGACGAATCTTTCACCAGCTGCTCTTCATCTGAGCTGGTTAGCACTGAAGCTAAAGTAGCCTAGCTGTTGGGACAGCCCCGTGGTGGAGAGTGACTAACTGCGTTGACTCAAGTACAGTACACAGAATTGATGTACTTTACTTTACTTGAGTATTTTCATTTCACTCTACGTTCTATTTCTATTCCACTACATTTCAGAGGTTAATATTGTACTTTTTACCAAACTAAATTTATCTGGTAACTGCTGGTCACTTTAAAGTCAAATATTTTACATTAAAATGACGTGATAGGATTATAAAATACAACACATCCTTAAAGATTAAACCGGTGGTTCTCAAATGTTTTGGGCTTGTGACATCTTATAAATGAGTGCCTGTAATATTGGGTAACATTTTATTGTGTCTCTTTGGGGCTCCTTGTCGTGTTTTAGATGTCAGATGCTTCGTCAAAGATTGACCCGCTCTCATCCCAACTCGTCAAGTACTGACACTTTGTCAGTGGACCTACAGGTTCAAAACTGACACTCTAGGTACCCTCCTGCGTCAGTATTGGACATTCACGTATGGCTTCTTAATTGATGTCTATTATGTATTGTGTTGTTTCAAAACACATTTCTGTGTTCACAGGAAATGTACAGGTTCTGCTCGTTGCGTGCATATTTTCAAAATAAACTTACAACATAGGTAAGACTGCTTTCAGAGCTAGAGTCGTCTCCTTTGATCTGAATCAGGGACTAATGTTGTTACAGAGCTGTATAATTGCCTAGAGTTGATTCGTGTGTTTCCATGTGGGAAAAATCCAGGAAGTAAAGCAAACGTTGAAGAAGAGTACACTTGCAAGATAAATGTGACACTTTCTAATGTCACAATGGAGGGACAACTACGCAGGTTGATTTTAGGGGAGTGTATCTATGTTCCCAGGGTTCTATGTTTCCCGGGTTCTTTGTTCCCCACTTAACCCTGCAAAAAAGGTTCTATGTTCCCCGCTTACACAAAAAGGTTCTATGTTCCCCGCTTACACAAAAAGGTTCTATGTTCCCCGCTTACACAAAAAAGGTTCTATGTTCCCCGCTTACACAAAAAAGGTTCTATGTTCCCCGCTTACACAAAAAAGGTTCTATGTTCCCCACTTACACAAAAAAGGTTCTATGTTCCCCGCTTACACAAAAAAGGTTCTATGTTCCCCGCTTACACAAAAAAGGTTCTATGTTCCCCACTTACACAAAAAAGGTTCTATGTTCCCCACTTACACAAAAAAGGTTCTATGTTTCCCGCTCAACCAAGTGGGAAACATAGAACCCTTTTGTGTCAGCGGGGAACATAGAAGCTTTTTTGCAGGGTTAAGTGGGGAACATAGAACCCGAGAAACATAGAACCCTGGGAACATAGGGATGACCCCGATTTTAGCGCTGCTCATCGTGGACTATATTGCTGTCATTGTTCATTTTAGTCAAAAGCACCCTGAATCACTTGGTTTTTCAGTTTACTTCTTTAAGTTTAGGCAACAAAAGTCCATGCTTAGTTTTATCATCATGGTTTATCAGCATGGTTTGGCCCAAAATAAGTATGGTTGTTACTAACATGAAGTAATGTCATATGAAATATATCATGTCAAATACGTCACTAGGGTTGCACGTTACACATACTAGTGCACTACGTTGTTATTAAAAATAACCCAGCTGCATTCTGGTTTTACACGGGGCACGAACAGCTGGCTCCAGAGTCTGTTTTACCTCCAATCCCTCCCTACACTGACTTTCTTGCTCTTTATACTATGGTATGTTTGTTTGTTTTTTGCACAAAGGGTGATTCTGTGCATCAGTGTCTGACACTGAGATCCTTTGGCAAAGCGGCAGTATTTGACAAATTGGTAGTGAGAGCGGGCTGCAGAGAGACATTTCCCCTCTAAACTTATCACATGGTTTTAATTCAATTATCCAATATTTCACAAGCATTAGAAAAAAAGTCTTAGAAAAATTTCTTATTCTTTGTCTTTCCCACTTATCATCTGATGACCCCTCCGATCTATCTGGTGCCCCTTTGAAGGGGCCTGACCCCTAGGTTGGGACCCACTGGACTAACCTAGCTGACTCTATATACTAGGCCTGAACGATATATCTTTTAAGCATTGCCATCGCGATGCACACGTGTGCAATATTTACATCGTGGGGCTTACGATGTGGCTTGCCCTCAAAAAATTCAGCCAGCACGTTTAAATTGCCGAGTGATGTGCGTAAAACTCGCTTCCTTTTTGATGACTGACCAACAGAAGATGTCGAATTTAGTGGAATAAAGAATAAATGGCCTATTCAAGTGCTGGAATTTGCTATTTACGTGACAACGTCTGAACGCAACACAGGCTCCACTCCACTGACTGTGTGCACAGTGCCGTGCTGAGGGTTCTTGCTGGGCTCGGTCATAAATGTCTCGGACTCGGGAAAATGCGGCCCGAGCTGTGCTCACCTTTGTCTGTGTGTGTGTGTGTGTGTGTGTGTCTGTGTGTGTGTGTCTGTGTGTATGTGTGCGCGCGCATCGAGGGTCGAACTCCGCCGTGCATGATACAGAGAGCAGATGAGAATTATAAAGGCGCAACCATGTAGAGACATAAATGACATGCCGTCATGTAAACAATGTAAGTCATCACGTTTTAAGGTGAACTGTTTCACCGTATAACACAATAAATAGTAGCCTATATCGTTGTGTTATTATATGAAGCGTCTGTAACGCAAAATTATATAACGGTAGTTTCTAAAGAGCTAAGATGAAAAACAAACAAAAAAATAAATAAATAAATCAGAAGCGCTGCTGCTAGTTACCTATAGGGGGAACATATAAACACTGAAAGAGATGGTGGGTTAACTGAACAAGTGCCTATTTTCAGCACATTTCATGCTGTTGCATTCAAAGCAATATCAGCTAATAATTCCAGAATGATTCATTCTCACCAAGTAGAGCTACTGAAGTCATCTGGTAGAAAATAATGCATCTTTAAAAAAACATATATATAAATCGCTATATATATCGATGGGGGCAAAAAAAATCGCAATGTCAATTTTTCCCAATATTGTGCAGCCCCCAACTCTATCACTGGTGCTTCAGTATCAACAAACTAACAAAAACAGGATCAGTTTTTTGCAGAGGTTTTGATATTTAAGTTTTTGTTGATAATACTTCTGTACTTTTATTCAAGTAGGATTTTAACTGCAGAACTTATACGTACTTGTAATGGAGTATATCTAAATTGTCGTACTGCTATTTTTACTTGAGGAAAGGATCCGAGTACTTCTTCCACCACTGGGACAGCCCTCAGTTAGCGCCAGTATTAGCCTTTGAACATTTTCCCTTATATCGTGTTTGACAAGACGTTTCCCCCAGATCCACACATGCACAACAATTTAGACAGTTTACAACATAATGGAATATGTAGGACTCATGCTTTTTATCCCCTGTGGTTTAGTGGTTTACACCCTCAGAGTGGACCCAGGGACACCAGTGGACATGCATTTGTTAGATAAGAAGAGTGATTGCAAATCCCACATCTCCATGAGCGTAACCATCTTAAACTCTGTGAGCACACCAGAACCAACCACCAGAGATTGTAAATGAATTTTTCACCAACAAATCAAACAGTGACAAAAGGAGCAAAATCAGATTGTTCCCTGTTTGACATCACCAGAAAGAAAGCAGCTGCCTCCTGTGCAAAGTCAAGCCTTGTTCCAGTAATATGATCTGGGTTTAACTGGGCCATTTCTATGGTGGAGCCAAAAAATGGCACATATGCCACCATCATTAAATATACTGCCTACATTTTTTGTTGTGGAAAAATTATTTATTTGGATATTAACAATGTGGAATGAGTACTTGACAAATAGAAACATATGGAAGTGGGTGTTAAATTGAAGATTACTTGCGTTGAAAACTATACTCCAGTAAAAGTACATAAACGTAGTCCTGTAACAGTCACAGTTACTTATCCTCAATATCCACAGTACTAACAGCAGCTTATATTACAACTCCTTAAAGACTGTTTATCCACTAACACTAAACCAATGTAGGGTGCTTTTTAATCTCCTCACCACTTCTAAACCGCTGAGAAAAGAAGCAAAAATCTGTTCAGTAGTCGTCTTTTTGCTCCATCTCTTTGTATTCCATCACTCTGACCAAACTGCATTCACCGATCTATTAAACAGTTTGTTAACTCTCAGAGGTTTTGATCTATTTTTTTACTTGATTACTTGAATTAATCAAAGCATCTAATTTTCCTGAATATGAATATTTCAAAAAATATGACATATGTTTTCAATGTTTTGCTGATGACATTCAAATCTATGTTTCTGTTGTGGCTGGTGACCCTCCCAGCTTCTGAATATGTATGTCTGAATGGAAAGAAGACCAAAATGTTCCCTGAGAGGTTCTGACAACACAGATATCTGTTTGAATGTCCAGTATACAGTACTGAGATTTACTGAGTAGTCAAATGAATAAACTGAACTGTGTGTATAGTTTGTCAAATGGTTTATATAATGACTCAATCGTGCCACAAAAGATGCTTTTTTCTTAAAAAAAAAAAAAAATCCCAATTTAACCTTTTGATATAATTTGATGTAACATTTTATTTTGGTAAGTCAGTTGACTCTCATCGAGGGCAGTTTGAACAGACAACAGACAATCCTCTTTCTTTACTGTCTATATAAATTATCATTTCTGACCATCACTTGGATGTGATTTACATTCAATTTGACCATAAACAAAATTTTGGGAACTACAGAATGAGGCTACTGTACTGTGTGTCCAGGACATGTTTAGAATAGCTTAGCACCAAGAGTGGAAGCAGGGGGAAACTGCTAGGCTAGCTCCATCAAAAGATTTAGGCTACATGTTGTATCTTGTTAACTATGATGCTAGTCAGTAGCTAATCAGCAAAGGTTTAAGCGGGATTTATACTTCTCCTTCAAATCGACACCGTACCTACAGCATAGGCTCTTCATAAACCCATATCCTATGTTGTAGCCTGACGTGCACCTCCCCAGAAATTTAACTACGCGTCGTGGTGCCGCAGACCTCCTGTCTATTTCTGTAAGCTGAAACCATTTCCCTCAGTGGAAATGAAGCTTTTATTTACGTTAATTTCACAGATAAGAAACAATAAATTGTGAAGACAATAAAACCACAAGATGTGGTGAATTCCTGTGTGTGATTTATCCTGGCTTCATATGAGTAGAGAAAACTCCGCTAGTTGCTAGGCCAATATATGCTATTTAAAATATAGGCTTATGCTAATAATGTTAGCATGTTGTATACATGGGGAAAAGTATACAGTTTTTGTCTGTGAACATTGTGAAATGTAATGGAGCCGGATTTTCTAATATTACCTGTGTTAAATGTTGCTGTTGTTCTTAGCTTCATATGAGTAGTGGAAAATTCTGTTAGCCGCTTGGCTAATGCTATAGGCTTGTGCTAATAATGCTAGCATGTTGTATTTGTGGGGAAAATGTGTCCAGATAAAGACAAGTGTTTGTCTGTGAATGCTGTGAGTTATAGTGAAGCATATTTGTGTACTTGTGTTTAGATTATCACTATAAAGCCATGTTTACTGTGTGTTTACTGTGTGTTTAATGTGTGTTTACTGTGTGTTTAATGTGTGTTTAACGTGTTTACTGTGTGTTTAATGTGTGTTTACTGTGTGTTTAATGTGTTTAACGTGTTTACTGTGTGTTTAATGTGTGTTTAATGTGTGTTTAACGTGTGTTTAATGTGTGTTTACTGTGTGTTTATGTGTGTTTTCAATCAACTAAACTTTACAGCACTTCACAGAAACTCCATCGCCGACTAGTGTTTGGGAGGTGTAACTGCAGAGTGACACAGACACACCACCACACAAGTATAAATGCTAACAATGACTACAGGTGCAGGCTACGACGTAGGCTCCGTGTAAACCGACGCACAACTATAAATCCACCTTTGGTCAACAGTAGAGTCCAAACCAACAACTCAACTGTGATTTCAGGACTGTTGACATGCTGCCCTCAGTCTTTCCACCACAGCGATTGGTGGTCATAAAATGGCTCCAACGCAAACTGCTGCTAAAACCACAATAACTCCTTTATACATTTTTAATTTCAAAACCTGTTAAAAAAACAAGATTTAACATGTAAATCAGAAACCTTCGGAGCTGTTGGAAGGCCTATGGGTCAACTTTTGATGGAGCTAAGCTAGCAGTTCCCCTCATTTTTTGTGCTAAGGTAGGCTGGTCATATTCCCTGTCCCTGTAGAGGACACACAGAGGTGTTCCTGTAACCTGAAAGGTTAAACAGGTACATAAAGAATGGTGCTCACTGGTGCTTTCTATCATTTGACACACTGACTGACAAACTTGTAGACATTAAGATTTTGATTCAGTCTGATGTGCTGAAACAGACCTGGCTGACCGTCAGCTGACATGTTGCAGAGTTACTGTAACAGTGACTATCCAAAAATAAAATGTTATCCATTATTACAGGCATTAGGATTAGTAAAGAGGGTAAATAAAGGTGATTAATAATGATTAGAGGATGCTCCACATGCTCAGAAAATCCACTGTACCTGTCGGTTGGCCTGTTGGAGGCAGACAGCAGACACATAATGATCACCATGATGCAGCACTGTTAGTATAACTGTCTGAGTACATTCATTTTTTAATCCTCTATCTAGTTGGTGACGTTTTCAATATTCAAATAGCTGAACATGACAGAGACTGTACACTTGATGCTGAATCTAAATTCCATTTTAACAGCTTGTATTGTTGAATAAAGGAACATTTTATTATATAAAACATACACACTTTGTGCTTTCATCTCTCCTCTGCAATTAACCCTGCCAATTTTCTTTTTTGGCTCATTAAAAGGTCAAATAAAAATGCAAACATATCAAATAAAGTCACCGAGATACTGACAGACAGTTTGGACAGAAAGATGTGAAATTGTGTGACCGATACAAAAAAAATATTGTTTAAAAACGGCCTTTCATGTCTGAAGTGTGCCAATAACTGGTACGACTGAGTTTATGATACAATTTTTTAATTCATGGATTTAAAATGCTTTAAAAATGGATAGTAGCTGAATTCTTCTTGTGTCATCCATCTTTATATTCAGTCTATGCTACAGACCACAGACCTGTAGACCTACAAACTACACACCTACAGACTACACACCTACAGACTACAGACACTTTCAGGGAGAAGCAGTAATGAGTGTGTGTGAGCTGCCTTAGTAGTTTTTTTCAGTACCTGTTGAGAGATGCCAGCAGCTTTTGGATGGCTTTACCATCAGGATCCATCACCTCCTGCAGGAGACTGATATCACAGCGAGACAGGATCTACAGACAGACAGACAGACAGACAGACAGACAGACAGCTCAATAAGATTTGAAATTGTTTACAGATATCCTTAACACCCTTTATTGTTTCCAGCAGGATCATGTGTTTGGTTGCATGTGTGCCTGAGTGAGTGAGTGAGTGAGTGAGTGTGTGTTTGTGTGTGTGTATTTTAGTGTGTGTATTCATTTGTCCGCAGCTAATCTTACAAACTACTGGACCTATCAGCCTAACAGTTTGTGTGCACATGTATGACTGTACGCTCAAGGACCTCTCATGGTTGCAGTGATTCGTATGGCTAAAAACCTGTTTTATATGTCATTAAATGCTGACTTCTCACTCCTCTTCACTAGAGGTGTGTATTAGCAAGAATCTGGGGATACGATACATATCATGATACAGAGGTGATGATTTGATATATTGCAACATATTGCAATACTTTAAGCAAGGCAATAAATATGATTTTTTTTTTCAAAAGAATCTAATTTATGGATTTCATGGACTCAGATTCAGCCATCAGTCACCTGTGTTTGCTGACACGAGACTCCAGAGGTTGCTGAGGTTTTTACGCTTGCAAGAGGAGTGGAATAGTCAAACGGCCGTGTGACTGCTGGTAACTAGCGGTAGGAGGGTTAAATACAACACACAAAATAACCACTGCCAGAAATGTTTGCATTAAAACTACTGATTAAATATCGACATAGTAGTTTTCAGAATCGATACAGTGTTGCAAAACAAAATATCGTGATATTTCAATGTATCGATATTTTCTTACACCACTACTCTTCACCGGCCGGTAGGGGCGACAAGTTTTTCGGAAATCGGCACAGCTAAAAATAATAAGCCATACTGTCTGCTGCAGGACACATGTTGGCCTTCGTCGAGTCTCAAAAACGAACGTCCATAGAAAAGTTTGGTTTCATGTTGAGCCGGAGCATCTGTAGATTCATTTCAAACCCTATATGTCATGATCCACTAAAGCTAGGCACAATACCAGATGAATACATCCCAGTTTTTGTCTTCACCTCCATCTTGACTGTAAGGGAGCCTGGAGGGGCGGGGCCAACTGCACCAAGGTTTTGTTCCATCTGCCGCATGGCATCATTTTTGATTTGGTCATTTTCCTTGATATCTGTGCTTTGACCATAAATAAGAAAGTAGGCACTAAATTGTTTCTTTGTCTGTTTGGTGATTATAGTTGTCATGTCCTACTCTGTTGTGCTGCAGCATACAGACAGAGTTAACACTGTTAAATGTCCAGTTATGAACGACATGTATCAAAGATTTTTTGTTGTGTTTAAGTTATTAAAAATACATTCATCCTGATTATTGTATTGTATTTATATTTCACATTCCTGTTAGCAATAAAACTTCATCTGCTCTGTGCAACGAGCTGCAGCTTCTGATGTCTTCTGCTGTGTTCCAAGAGAGATGAGAGTCTCCTGCCGCCCTGGACAGGAACATCAGTGGTTCCCAACTGGTCCAGATTTCTCCTCAGTCATCATCACAGACCAAACAATGGACAAACAAGTTAGCTACGGTTAGCTAGCAGCTAACTGCTACCATGGTGGACAACTTTACAGCTCTGTACATTTGGTCCGTCCAAAAAGTCACAGCTCTGGATGTAGATTTCTCCATGTTGTTACCGGCTTCTTCTTCTCTTACACATTTAATGCTATTGGACTTTCGGGTCAAAGCCCGGGGCGGAAACTGTGGAGCATGCTCAGAGTGCCTCGGCCAGTTTGGGTCTGATTGACTGTATACATGCAGGAGTCACATGATCTGGGTAACAATCAGTTCATCTCCCGTAGTGACCTCCTCGACCTCTGACAGTCTGCTCTCTATGATGAACGTCATGTACTGAAAATGAGCACAAACTGGATCCTGAAACGAGCTGGTGTGTGTGTGTGTGTGTGTGTGTGTGTGTCCTACCCGTGTCAGAGTGTGTCGCACTCTGGTGTTTGATGCTTTCGCGGAGTTGAATTTCTGCACATTGTAGGCGCAGATCTTGAAATCTGAAGCTGCTGCTCCATCGACCAGCAGGGTGAGGAGGGAGAAGAGGAAGAGGAGAGGAAGAGGAGGAGAGCGCCACCTCATGGTTGAACTGTGGAGAAAACAAAAAGACACAGTGTTGTTGATGTAGTTTTAATGTGCAGAGGTGGGCTGACTTCTGTGTTCATTGTTCAGGAGGTTTTTTAGGGAGCCAAATTATCCACAGAGGTCTCTTCCTCTTCAAAACAAACAGACCAGCTGGTTTTAGCTGCTAAAAACACTGATTTTTAACATGAAACTGTTTTATTCAGTGTTTCTCTGATGCTGTGTGGCACAGCAGGAAGTGGAGCCAAGCTGCAGCTAACATTTGCTCTGCTTGTTTGTCTGATATCTTAAGATGCAGACGTCTGATGACGAAAATCTTCAATCTGGTTAAAACACATAGTTAAAAACGACCAAAATGACCATTTCTACATAGTTAACTGAAGCCCTGTCAGAACAGACTGTCTGACTGAAAGGTAAAGCAGTGACAAAACTCAATATAGCGTACAGTTATACTGATGCTTAAGTTTTTAAAAGGCTAAAACACGTTTGCTGATCCCCGTCCACAGCTGAACATTACTGAGCTTCTGGAGTGGTGCTCCAGTCTGCTTCTCCAAACTGGGGCGTGCCGACTGACATCTACTGACTATGGATACATACCCTGTACCATCTTACTTACAAAAATGCGTACTATCCCTTTAATGCACTAATTATCTGTCTAAACACTCCTGCTAACCTGTGCTTGAGCTGACTGTTAATCTGTACATGGGAAAGAAAAACTCAGCTACAAACTGCATGTCATTCCCTCTGAGCTGCAGGGTTTGATCACAACTGTCTTCAGTCTACATATGAAATGACAGGGACACATGGCGACCTGCAACAGGTCCACTCAGCCATGAACATGAAATGCCTGTCTCTGTGAAGTGAAACCAAATGTGACACAACACAGCCAGTCAGTCCTCAGTGAGCCTCCCAACGAGTCGGTTCCTCTCAGTGTTGTAAGGCAGGAAACACAAACAGGAAGAGGGGAGTCGGTGGGAAGCTACAGTGGACTGATAAAGCCTAGAAAAAAACTTCATACTAACATCATGAGTGCAGGGGAGGAGACACACAGCTGAGCTTTTACACCAAAGAATCACAGCAGGAGGCCGAGTGTGATTTTTTTTAGCTTAATCTCTTTCTGTAACTGTTGGTGAACTTTCAGCGCACGCCTCATTTTCATAGTCAAAGAAACAGAGTGTGAACGTGGGACAGGTTGAGTGGTTTGACTGGTCTGTTGGAGCATGTTCAGACCTGCGGGGAGAGACACAGCACGAGGCCTCAGGACAAACCCCACACAATCAGGCCCGACCAAACTACAGCTACAGAAAAAGAAAACTACATCAACTATAGGGTTGGGACTCATTAGGATTTTAACGATTCCGATTCCTCTTACCGATTCCTACATTATATTCATTATATTCATTATACTTGCTGTACTTAAACAAGTATATAATAAACACAAATGCAATCATACAAATACAAAAACTTTATTCTAACTGTTGCACAGTACAATTAGATGAAAATACACATTTGTGTGTGGTGTGTATTTCAGATTTAGAGCTTGTATCATCTCCCTGAGAATATATAACAACAATGATTTCTACAGTAACACTATTACCTCAAATTAACCACAGCAATGTAATAAAAAATACTTATATGCATTCATGCTTGGGCACTGTTATTTACGTGACAACACCTGAACAGAACACACAACGCACCCCTCGCTGGAAGCCTCAGACCTCCCGCCACCCGCTCCCGTCTCAAACACGGAGGTCTCCCTCTCCGCAGCTGAGCACCCACGGCGCACGCCCGGCCTGTTAAATAGCCTGTAACCATAACAACTGTGTGACACAAACTCAGTGCTTTGGTAACTAAATAATGTCGGGCTCGGTCGGGTTCGGACAGAAATATGTGGCCCGTGCCGCACTCTAATGGAAATGCACGTGACGTTGTTTTTTTTTTTTTTTACAATCTAGGAACCGTTTGCAGGAACCGTTACTCCAAATGTGATGGAACTGGTTCCGGAACCGGAACTTCGGACCCGGTTCCAAAAAAGAACCGGATCCGGATCCCAACCCTAATCAACTATCAGACATCTACCAACAAACATGAAACTTTTAGAATTAAAATTGTTTTACTTGTTTACAAAGCTTTAAATGAGCTTGCCTAATGTGGCTTTTCAATGTGGAATAACATTACAGTCTGATGGAGCTACATTTGTTTCTTTATTATTCAATCAAACAGAGTAGGTTTTGCAATCAAAAAAAAAAAAGATTTGAGAGCAAAAGTATCAATGTTGCAAGTAAAAAATGACTGATTAAAAAATGCAAATCCTAAAGTTTTGTTTGCGAGTCATTTTTTTTCCGTTTGCAAGTCAAAAAGTTTTGCAAGTAAAAAGTTGAACCTGGTGGGCGGGGCCTAAACTGAAAGCTGTAAGACACGTCTCTATTGGCCAGTCTCAATCGGAATGACAGCTTGCAAAGCATNGTAAAAAGTTGAACCTGGTGGGCGGGGCCTAAACTGAAAGCTGTAAGACACGTCTCTATTGGCCAGTCTCAATCGGAATGACAGCTTGCAAAGCATTTTTTTTCTTCTTCTTCTTCCACGCCAAACCCACCAATAGAAACTCTTCTCACATCCATCAGCCTAGGCCCCGCCCATTAAGTGCAGTTGAACTTGCAAGCAAAACTTTAACTCGCAAGCAAAAAGGACTGATTTATAAGCAAAATGATCAAGTTTTTACTTTCAAACTTGATTTCTGATTGCAGTTCAAGAAATATGCTCTCAAACAGTTTTATATGATCGCAACAAAAAGACACAAAAAAACCTCCATACGGTCTCAGTGACTCTTAAGTTTTAATCATTGTTTTTTACCTTATTTTATCCCTCCTGTTTATTTTTATTCTACATTATTTGTTGATTTATTTACTCTCTTTTTATTCAATCATCTTTTTGTTAGTTTGTTCTGTTTTGGTTGGTTTGCTTTGTTAAAATATTTTATTGTCTGGTGTCTGTGTCATTCTAGTTTTGCCATGTGAAGCACTTTGGGCAGCATGTGTGCATGAAATCAAAGTTGAGTTAAGTTGAGTTAATATGTCTACGTGTCAGAACGGTGTCTGACACAAAGACATATTCTCAATAAAATGCTTAACTGCTAAAAAAGAAAAAAGCTCTGCTGCCAAACTCATTTGATTTACAACAGTACTGATCTCTCTTAGGAACTGCTGACCATGCTGTAATAATTACTTACTACTTAAAGCAACACAATGGAGTTTTTGAGCCCTCTAAATATATATCTAAGATCCTTGTGATGGTACATGATGGTACATTGGATGACACCTCCGTCATTGCGTGAGAGCATCTGGTTGGCTTGCACTGGCACTATGCAGTTTCGGGGTTTGGGTAGAAACCCGGACACAAAAAGGACTACAAAATTTGGAGGTCAGCCCTGACATGCAGCGAGCAACTCATTTCTGAGTTTCGGCCTAATCATGTATGTACAAAATGCTATAAGGCTATTTTACCTGTTCTGAAGACATGATGATGATCACGCATTACACGGCCAGCTTCAGGAAGTTCACCGGTATCGTTGGCTTGTCAACAAATGCACGCGCAGAAAGATTTTTGCGACAGTTGTAACAGTACCGTTTTTTGTCTTTAGGGGGAGCCCGTGAGGTAAAAAGCACAGTCCTCCATTGTGTTGCTTTAACAGTTAAAGTTTTGATTGTTTGTATTTTGTGTTTCTGTGTCTTCTGGGTTTTCACATAAGCCTGTGCAGGTTTCTGCCACACCCTCACATGCACTTCTTTATATCTTTTATTCCCTTTATTTTTTCCATTTATGTTTTGTGAAACAAATACAATAAAATTAAAATAAATAAATTTGGTGAAAGAGGTATCAGTGAGTACAGCACTGTGTACTGGGAAGAGCAACACTAACCCGCAACTCACTGTGTGAGCTGCTGTAATCTACCTGTAAACAACCAACACACACACACACACAGACCGCCCCCAGGCCAGCGATGACACACATTCCTGCAGTTTACAAGAATGTGTGTCAGCAGTACAGATGGTTCTTCAGCTGCAGTTGCTATAAAAAAGAGGAACTTGTGAATCAACACTTTAACATGAAGCTGTTCACTGTGGTCACACACACACACACACACACACACACACACACACACACACACACACACACACACACACACACACACACACACACACACACACACACACACACACACACACACACACACCTTAATCAGTTTAATCAGTAAGTCAGTCCTAAGCTGTGACTGTTGGAGGCCTCTGGGCCGCTCCCTGGCCTGCAGGTGGGGGGACCAGTCGAGTGACTTCTGCTCTAACACTCCCTCAACTCAGCAGTCTGACTTCCACACACACCTTCACTACATTACTCACTGTAAGGCAAGGCAAGTTTATTTGTAGAGCACAATTCGTACACAAAGTAATTCAAAGTGCTTTACAGAACAAGAAAATGCATTAAAATCACAATACAAAATAAAAACATAAATAATCATTATAAAATGAACTTTAAAAGAGAAGAGTGCAGATAAGATCCTTTCAGTCATATGCACAGTGAAATAGAGCTGTTTTGAGCCTAGATTTGAACATTGTCAGAGTAGAGGCCTGTCTCACATCTTCAGAAAGACTGTTCCAGATTTTAGCTGCATAAAACTGGAATCCTGATTCCCCATGTTTAGTCCTGACTCTGGGCACCACCACGAGGCCGGTCCCTGAGGTCCTCAGAGTCCGAGATGGTTCATATGGCACTAACATGTCAGAGATGTACTTTGGTGCTAGGCCGTGGAGAGACTTGTACACAAGCAGAGCTGCTTTAAAGTCTATTCTCTGAGCCACAGGAAGCCAGTGTAGAGACCTGAGCACAGGACTAATGTGCTCGTACTTCCTGGTTCTGGTCAGGACCCGAGCAGCAGCATTCTGGATACCACAAGGATACCGACTGTAATCCCACAATGCAACACGCAGTGCATAAAGTGAGGACACAGTG